TTTTAATCTTATTAACAAGTACTTAAGTCCACTTTTTTTTTAATCTCAAAAATATCCCTAACAATGTTAGTTTTTGTCAGTTATGTTAAACTAAACACATTAGTTGCAATGAGATATATATGAAAATCGGTGATTGAATATAAGAATCTTTGATTTACGACGGTAGATTACAAGCTTTCTTTAATAATTCAAACTTAAACTCTTAATCATTATTTGTTTTTGTTATACATTTGAATAACATACTTTTGAGTTTTTGGAGGTGTTTTGAAGGTGATAAAAGCTGAAGCTAAAGTTCAATATTTTTTGCAGTCGGAGTACGAGTATGCGTTCGAGATCTTGAAGTTGGAGTTCAAGTTCGACTTATTTTTTATTTGAGTTTGGGCTAATCTTGACTTCATATGTTAAACCTTTTTTTTTTTCAAATTTCTTGAGATTTTCATTGTAATTGACTGCTTTATTTACTACGAATAATAGTGTTATATTTGCGATTGTCAGAATTTCAATGTTACTAGCCGGAATTTCTATTGCGACGAACTTTACTATCCTCTGAAAGTTTGAGATTTTGGGGGTGATTTGAAGGTGATGAAGGTTGAAGCTGAAATTCAAAATTTTACAGTCGGACTATGAGTTTGAGTTCAAGATTTTGAAGCTGGAGTACAATTTCGAGTAACTATTTATTTGACGTTTCTCATGTTACTGGTTGGGAATATCATTGTCATCTAGTTTGATAAATTATCAATCTAATATTTATCTCTCATTGACCATATTTGAGTCATATTACTATTAATATTACTGTACATGTTACTATTAATGTTACTGTTGATATTACTATTTTTGTACTAATACAAGCAGTAACCACTTGTGCAACAATATTACAAACTTACTGAAAAATGTAATATTGATTTTCTTAAAACAAGTGATTTCTTAAATAGAAACAAATTTAAGTCATGTTACTGTTCAAGTTACTTTTTACACTTACAATCTACACAGAGTTTCGTCTATTTTTCAAAAAAATATATATAAATAATACTCAACTCTTCATATAACAACATATCACTTATACATATAACATCATATCAGCCTTCTAAAATCAAATGGTTGACTAAGTTGAAACATATTTGATCATGTTACTATTGCATCACAGTAACACCAGCGTTTTTTCACAATAACACAACGAAGCTATTTTCAATTGTTTTTCCTAATAAGCGATCCACAAATGGGAAAACTACATCGTTTAATTTAGTAACACTGAATGGCACATTGCAATTAGGAAAAACAAAAATCAATGAAAATTTAAAAATTAGAATATGTAGAAGATGTTCTGAAACCCTAGAATGAACAACAACTTCTTCAATAGATTCCACAACAAACTGGAGAAGCAAATCGAATATGGTATTAACTGAGTGGATTTAGTTTAAAATTTGAATTTGAACAATTTTTTGAAAATTTCGATTGCATGTTTGTCCGAGAAGAAAACATCGTGATAGAAAAAATCTTTGCCAAATTTATAAGTGTTGCCGGATTTGTAAGTGTTGCCAAATTTGAAGGCACTGGTTGTTGGAGGAATCAATTGCTTCCATTTGTGAAAGGATTTCCTTAAAATGTCGTTTACTTCACTTCTAAAGGAAAATGACAGTTTGGTAAAATAAAAAACGGACTTCATAATAAATAAGTTTCGTTGTCGAACTTATCTTCAAAAAAGTCCATGTAGAGAGATCGACCTCCAAATTTTGCATTAAAATTCTTAATAGATACATTAGTACACCAAAATACACACACACACACATTAGTAGTACACCAAAATACAAACATACACACACACACTAATACGCCAAACCAAAAATAAACTAAAACACTAAAAATATACATACTAATACACATTAATCTATACTATTTTAAAAAGTATGTATCTTTCAAAAACTTTTATTTTCCTCTTTTACCCTCTAACATTTCTTAATTATCTAACTACCATGAATGAATATATTATAAAGACAATACAATACACCATTTATTTATTATATTAATATCATTTATGACATACTCCTCATGTTCTACTTTCTCCATTAAATGATCAGTTTTATAAAACAAGAGAGATGACCAATGGGTCTTTGGTCCATTGGTACTCCTTATCTTGTGAAGGTTTTACCTTCTTGAAATCAAAGGTTCAACCTCCCCTCCCCCCTCCCACCTCCCAAAAAAAAGAAAAAAATATATATATAACAAGAGAGATGAAGGGACACAACTTCTAAAAGATTATCCTTCTTTCTCTATATATAGAAAATAAGAAGTTAGACAGACTGTATATTAAAGAAAAAAAATGTAAAGACAATACAATTTTAAAAAAATAAAACGCTTGATTGCTGGAAGTGAGTGGTTCATTGCCTGTAGCCATTATATAAGGTTTTTGACCTTCTCATCCTAAATTCAATAATCACTCTCTAACGTTTTCATGTTGTCTTTCTATTACTCTTCCCTTTTTTTATATCAGCTTTGTATTTCTCTTTCTGAGAGTTTTTTCGATCTTCAATCACTCTTTTTTTGATTTTTGAATCTAATAGTTGTAGATCTTATTGAATAAATATAACAGCATCAAGGACCAATGAAAAGACAACTTATTTGACACTATTGGACAATAATTTGAAGAATATGAAGGTTGTTCCTTGTCGTCCAAGAATTGAAAGGGTAGTTATATGCTACGTTCTTATGATTACATTCCTCAAGTTTATCTCAAATTATTCTTTTGAATTGTGGTAGTTTGGTTTTACTCATTAAATAGAGTGTGAGTGATTGAAAATTTTGTAGCATGGGAAAGAACATGCTCAAATAATTGATGAAATGTAGTAGATGATAGAATCAAGTATGTTGATCAACTTACCTTCAAATTAAACAAAATCATGAGATAAGTGTTTTGACTCGTGAAATGAAGATTGATGTTAAATTGTTATCTTTTTTATTGTTGTAGATTTCTATCAATTTTGTTCGTTGATTGCATGTTTGTTATTGAAAACGGAAGGACATTCTAACTTGGGATCTGTTAGAAACCTATTTTTAGTTTTATCTAATGAATGTTTTTTTATTTAAAAAATTAAACCAAGTATTATTTACCAATTTATTAGCAATGAAAGACTTGTGCGAGTTGTTTCAACTTTAGTTGGTCTCCTAATGTCAAAAGGACTGAGTTGTTTAAGACCAATTAAGAGTATCCATACTTTTGTCACGCTTGTCTTACGCTTTAGATTTTTTAATTGGAGTAGATGATGTATTCGGGTTTCAAATATTTATGCAATTATTTGTAGCTTAGTAATATTGCACATCATTTATGTTTGTTCAAATTTTTTTACTAACATTATTGAGGTTTACCAAAGAATGTTTTTTGGGTCACAACGAAATATTTTTATTATTGGTATTTAGATGGTATCATTAAATAAATTGGGGATAATACCACACACACCATAAAGAATTGATAAATATTGTTTGTCCCTTTATGTGAATCATTTCCAAGTATATGATCAATTGTTCAAATACCTAAAGTAACATGACTGTTTATGGTCTCTAATTAAGAATTAATATTTTTTTTTACCCATATGCTAGATAAAATTATAAATAAAAAAATAATCTTATGATTTTTATTTCAGTTTCTGGTTTAAGTGTTACAGACAGAATCAATTGGACATAACAATGGAGTGATACTAATGCTATCTAATTTATTTATTTGTTTATATTTTGACCAAAAAACACCCTTTTATTTGAATTTTATTTTGTGTTTTAAGTTAAACAATGAACTTATATTCTGTTCCATTAGTTTATGATGTATTCAATTGAATGAAACATTCTTTAATTGATTCAAACTTGTGAAGGGTATAGTCTTTGAGACTATTATATTGTAATCTCGATGTTTGAACTAACATTACCAGTATAACTATAAATTAAAATTGTTGTACAAATTAATACACAAAAAATACACACATATACTAAAAAAAAAAATAAAACACATTTAATAAAAAAAAACACACACATAATAGGTCGGGGTCGATTGTGGACTATGGATTAGGCCGTGAGTCGTGGGTCGATTCTTGAATTATGGGTCAACACATGGTTCATCGATCAACATGTGGTACATAGGACACGGGTCGTGGGTCGACCAGTCAGTCATAGATTAACCAACAAGTCATGGGTGGTATATTATAGAGTGTGTTTTTAGTATAATAGTGTACGTATATTTTGGTGTATTATTGTATGTGTGTATTATTGTATGTGTGTATTAGTGTAATAATGTATGTATTTTGTGGTATATTAATATATTTATTTAATTTTATTACTTGTGTTATTTAATAAAAAGATAAATATTCATATTGTAATTTATAATTTATATTAATCCATTTAATTAAAATAAATTATATTATCTACCTCATTTAAAATCTATATTAATTAAAATTAATATAAATACGAGCAATACTATTGGGACCAATAATGCTAGACTGACCAAAATTTAAGACATAATTTATAGATATAATTTGAAGATATAATGAGTTGTCACTAATAAAATAATAATAAATTTATTTAATGCTATAATAGGATCTATTATTAAATATATTTTATTATTATTTTATCAGTGATAACTCATTATATCTTCAAATTACGTGCATAAATTAGCGAATGCTTAATTTGTTTATGGACGAGCTAAACGAATTAACGATTAATGAATTAAGATTGTCAGGCGAGACAGACAGGGACGCGCCGCGCTCACTGGTTATTGCACGCACATATAAATATAGATACAGATATACATATAGAGAGAGAAAGAGAAGAAAAATAAATATAGAGATAGAAAGAGAATACTCACCTGGCATTCATCCTCCCTGTCCCCATTTTCAGCACCCCAACACACAAATTTTATCCGTTTCTTGGTTCTCCGTCAACCGCCAAATCTCTGAAATTGAAAGTTTTTCTTCATTCTTTCTCTCTCTCCCCGTCAGGTAGTCACTATTTATCTCTCTTATTGCCGCGTATGTAGTCACCTTAATGTGTTGAAATCTAATCGTGTATTGCGATAGATTTATTATGATTGATCGTGGTTGTTTATAAGAAAATGTTTAATTTTATTCTCGATCAATGTTTTCTCACAGGAACCTTCTATGCAATCTTTGTTTGATAATCTTTATCCAGGCTGACCTCGTTTTGATATGCAATGGTGTGACTATATGGTTAGGGTTTTGTGCGCAATTTTTTGATGTGCTCTTGATTGATTCTTGGTGTTGGATTTTTTTTTAGGTTGTGCATTTTTTTTGGTTTCTGAGTAATTTGAGGAATATAAAAGTGACATGGAAGTTTGGAACTTTCTCGTTTTTGGCAACGTATTATACACACAAAAAAAAAAAGAATCCTTTTTTTTTATATTGATTTTATCTAAATCAAATGGGTGCACATACGTGGTTCATCTGAGTAGGAGTAGTTGGTATGCCAAGGTGTAGATTTTCTTGCCTTTTTGTTGGCCAACCAGTCTCCAGGACATTATTAATTTCACTTTTGAGAATTGTTTCTTGGAAGGTTTGTTTTTATCGTCTGGCCGCTCGAAAAAGTCCAAAAAAGTATTTCCTTTCTTGAATCATACGGCATCTGCTGTTGTTTTTTTTTTAATGATAGCACAGCTAAGATGACTAGTTGTATTTGGCTTGTATTTCAGTGTCAATGCACCATATTCTTACTGTCGTTAAGTATTGAATGCATGTTTTTCTAGTACTTGATATTATATGATAGAGCAAGATAAAAATAAATGATATGTAGTTCAAAGTTAATCAAATCTTTTGCATAAAAACTTGGAGATGGAGATAACATTGCCATTTGTTTTACTATTAGGGCTGTGCTGTATCAATCATTTATTGTCATTATAACATGTTTACTCGGAAGAAAATGATTTGTTATATTTCATTTCACTAGATTTGTCATTGAAAGTTGAAGTTGAGGTTCTTCTGCTTCCATCAATGACATTTATATATCTTATGTAGCACAGTTAATAAGATTTGGAAGCAATGCCCCCAGTTAAGGCAATACAGATTCTTAACTATTATTGTAGAAAAATTCAGACTGTGTTAATAACACATTTATGTCAGGTATATTATTGTCATTACTCTTACAGAGACCCATCATGCATGATGTCTAGCTCATCGTTTATCTGTTACATGCGGCTAGTAATGGTGTTTTGGATGACATTTTTCAGCAATGATAGCTAGGCGACTGAATCAGGTTACTCTAAATGTTCTATTATATAGAGATCTACCTCCAAATAGTTCAAAATTGCTCTCACAAAGAATTATATATATATACTTTCAATAGACTTCGAAATTTGAGATGGATTATTGGAAGAGGGGATGGGAAATTTCCTAGTGTAAGTGGTAGAAAACTCGGCCTAACTGTTGTAAGGTGGTTTGAAGGCTGTCACTTTATGCTAATTTTGTGGTTTGTATCCAATCTATATTGTCAACATGATTGAGACAAAACTAGTAATGCCCTTTCACCGTGGGAGGAGCTGGGTGGTACAGAGGTCTAATAGAACCTTAAAGGAGGTTTTAAGATATCGATGCTGGTGTCAGATGTTTCCGTCCGTTGATATGCTTAGATCTTAGAACTTACGTCCTCATTTTACTTTTGTTGTCTCTTTGAATTTTCATTTGATATTAGTTATATTCAGATGAGTTTAGTGTGTGGTTGCTTCAATTTGCACTGTCAGGTGATGATGTCCTATATATGGCTTCAAACTGCCGATGGTTCAATACAACAAGTAGAACAAGAGGTTGCCATGTTTTGCCCCTCGATATGTCATGAAATACAGACAGGCATGGGATCTTCAAAGAACTGTGCGATATCGCTTCCATCACAAGTAAATCCTGCAATGTTGAGTTTGATTTTGGATTACTGCCGATTTCACCAAGTACGAGGCCATTCCAACAAGGTTAGATTTTTTTCAGGACTATTGTTTAAGATGGATTGATGTTTTTTCTTGCTTGATTCTAGTATGTTGTGGCAATTTTCCTTCCTTTTCTTTCTCTCTCTTCAAAGTTTTTATTTTATCTTTCAAAGTAAGTGTGATACATGAAAAAATGCTTCAGATTTAGTAATCCTAAGTGCATGCATTAATATATCTACACAATAATGATATCCATCAGAAGCTCAAGTGTCTGCAGAAAACGATAAGAATATGTACTGAATCTGGGGAATTGTTTGAGATCCAGAACAGTAGAAGCTAGAGAATTAAGTGGGTCCATAATTGTTAGGAAATAGTGCAGAACCAATAATTTAGTTAGTTACAATATTAATGACACACAGCTCAATTAGCTTTGTTATTATTTGTACAAGATGATATAGTAAATCTACATTTGACTTTTGGCTTTGCTTTCGCACAGGAGCACAAGTCGTTTGATGAGAAGTTTGTGCGAATGGACACAAAAACGCTGTGTGAGTTGACATCTGCCGCTGACAGTCTTCAATTGAAGCCATTGGTTGATCTTACCAGTTGTGCCCTTGCACGAATGATTGAAGGGAAAACTCCTGAGGAGATACGTGAGACATTTCATTTGCCTGACGATCTAACAGAGGTGTCTTGTGCTTGCAAGTATATGCTTCACGTGTTCTTTGTGTTGCCTTGAGAGACCATCTTATGTTATATTGATGAAGATTCAATTATACAGGAAGAGAAACTAGAGCCTTTAAGAAATATTAGTGATGATCCTCGGATTCGGCTTCTCAATAGACTGTACGCAAGAAAGAGGAAGGAACTAAAAGAGAGAGACAGATCGAAGGTGACTGGCATTATCTGTTATTTTTAGGCTTTAATACCATTTATTTGCAATTTTCCTTTACATATCTTGTCAATGATATTTTGCAGTTCTTAGTGGTCATGCAACTAGTGGGTTACTTGATTTGAGTATGCATGTTAAAACTGATTGTGATTGGCTTTTTGATGTATTTTAGAATGTTGAAGTTGAAGAGGAGCTTGTGGACGAGCGTTCAGTTGATGATCTTTTGCTATTTATAAATGGAGGAAATGGAGGTATGATGAGTGTGTCTCACTTTACTTGTCTGCATTTTGTTTCTTCTTTCCTTTTTGTTTTTGGCTAATTGGATTGAAAACTTATATTCTAAATCTTTTTCTAGTAGCAGTGGAACTTGGCAATAATGTTGTTTGCCTAAATTGACACAAGGTCTCTTCATATAATCGGTTGGTAGTCCAAACCTGTCTTCAATCACATATTCTAGTTGGAGTGTGATGCAAGAGACCTTGGCCTATTTTCTCTAGTGGATCAAGGGTGAGAGAAGTAGGGAACAGGTAGGCTTTTGAAGTGTTAAGCCTTCAGTAAATGGAAGGAAAATGAAGCAGAACAGAAAGGAGGAGGACAGAAGAAGATTCTAGGATTTGCACGTAGGTCTTTAGGCTTCACACCTAAGAGCGGATGCTTCATACATGACAAATAGGAGAGAAAATACCTGTTTATTTGTTTGGTCATTCATTCCTTACCTAAACAAGCCAATGTGGCACATATGTCAGAGACGTTAGGCTTGGAGATCAGGAGAACATAGTGGCTAAGTAACACTATTGGGACATTGACTTTGGATCTTTGTTTGGAATTCCAACACATCCAATCTAACCCAATTACATAAAAGAGTTCCTATTAGAAAAAGCAGACATGACCTACTTTCAACACATAACAAGGAAAAATTTCTTTATATTCCAAGATTCTAATCTCCAAGTAGAACTATCTTAATTGTTTAGTCACTCTGAGGGTTGTGTTATCTGTTCTATTGTCGGTCCTGGAAATGGACTTCTTGTTTTTTTATCCTTTTTCCTTTTTTAAATCTCTCTATTTTCAATTTGGTGCTGCAAAATAGGTTGCATATATGTTTACTCGTTTCAGGTAGTTATTTTAATGTGTGTTGGAGTGTGTGATGTTCTTTTGAAAGACAGGATATGGAATCTGACCTCAAGTTTCATATCCTTTTGATGGAGATACCGGAGTTAATAACTTATGTGTTGCAGCTTCTAAAGATGTCAGAGCTTCTAAAAGTAAAAAGAAGAACCGTAAAAGAAAAGACCAACAAAATTGTGCTCCTTCCAACTGCACTGATAAGGTCAGCACATCAATGTTGATATTTCAGAACTCCTTATCCTTTTCATATCCAATGTATTCCCTTATTTGGTAGATATATGAAAATTAGTTTCTGATGAATGCTTCCCTCCCCAAAATAAAATAAGATAAATAATCCAAAACCCAACAAAAATAATTGGTATATTTTTCCCATGTTGCAGGAGTCAAATGTTCTTAATTCCATGCGCCACAATGCTAAGGCTCATAGTCATTTTCTGCCCAATTTTGGCGATGCACTAAAGCTACACATTGAAGATGACAGATTTGCACCTGAGGGTGATTTTGATGATGGTGTTGATGATCCAGTTTTGAGAGAAGAAATCGACAGGTGAACCTGATGAATTTTGAAAGTATTTTGTCTCTCTCTCTCTCTCTCTCTCTCTCTCACACACACACACACACCCACACACACACGTGTGAGTGCATGCATGCGGACATAAAACATCTAATCTTTACTTAATAATGGGCATCTACTATCTACCTTCCCAAAAAAACAGTGGGTATCTTCAATAATTTTATGGCCATTGAGTGTGAGGTTGTGGTGGTTGGGTGAAATCCTGGTCCAGTGGTTGTGATGCTATTCTTTATCTGTTAAGAGTGTGTAGAACGGTTTGCGCTAGAGGCTAAACTAAATTGGCTGCAGGGGGTAGAGTTGAAATTTCTGTAAATGGAGTGACTTTGCTGTGTGGGCAGAGCTAGAAATTTCAGTGAATGGAGGCAGTTTGACATAAGATAATTATCGGTTTCAGTAAACTTTTATATGATTTGCAAAAGTGGATTCATTGCACATTCTCGGAGCATCCATTTTTTTAGTATCACCAGCATTTCTCTTAGTGAAGAACAATAAAATTCTATTTTCACGGAATTTTTTAATTACTTTAGAATACCAAGCATTATCTTTTACCTCTGGAAGAGTTCTAGATGGTGCATTTGTTGATTGATTGAAAATTTGGAACTTCCATTGTCTTAGTATATAAATTTCACTAATGATATGAAGAATTCATTAGCTGCACTTAAGACATTCCCCTGCTACATTGAGAGCACCTGCAGTGCAGACAATTACTCAAAAGCTAACCAGAACAAACCCTAGGAATCAAATACAACATATACCTCTACTAAACAAGCTTGTCTAGATTGAATTAAAAAGAGTTCATCCTCTTTCTTTAGGAAACTTTTAGTGGGGCACTTCAGTCAACTCCATATATGTCTGCCCATGCTTGGTCGGGACTTGGGCCTCTAGATTGGCCGTGAGGAGATGGGTTCCATGGAAACAGTTTTATTATTCCCTGTGGAGATATTTTCATCATTCCTGAGAATGAGTTTTTGTTTGCCTTTTATGTTTCCTCTTTTACGTGGAAGTGTGTGAGTTTGTTGGTTATTTATTTATTCTTTTTCCTGTTGGAGATTCTTTAGGAAAAGGGGAATAACCAACAAATTGTCTGCTGCCACAGTATTATGATGCACTTGTTTGTGGAAGAGAATAGTGCAATTTAGAAACGCTGGCCATTTGCATTTTTCTCCTTCCATACATTTTGATATTGATCTTTTCTTGAAATGTTCTGTTCTCTTTCTTCCTATGTTGACTTTTCCCATCTTCTCCTACTCAGAGAGGTGGAGGATTTTGCTCGCAGATTAAATTCGGACTGGCCTGAGAGGATGCAAGAGATTTTATCTTTAGGCCAAGAAAGGAAGCGAGCGCCAATGTCCACTGATTGGAATGGTTCTCTGAGGACATATGCAAGTATGCATATTCTATCCCCCTTTTTTTAATTATCTATGCATTTATTTTAATTTATGTAAGCTGTGGTTTCCTTAATGGGGTATAGTCACTAAATAGTTCAAATTCTTTATGCTTTGGTAATTGCTTGCTTTTCAGTCGATGAAGAACTTCCACAATGCTTGCTCTTTCTCTGTGGTCCCCCCCTTCTTCTGAAATGAGTTTAAAGCGGTCTTGCTTTGTCTTTTATCCACGTTTTTGTACGGAATGTAACACACATATATTTCTGTGTGTGTGTGTGTGTCTGTATATCAATCTAAAAGTTTGGAGTAATTAGTCGATGTGCTTGTTAACCTTCTGGTGGTTATCAGCTCTCTATCCATCTTTCTCTTTTCTCCTTCCTGGTCTTCAGGGTAGGGGTGAATAGCATTCCAAGAAGTCTAACATTCTTTATTTTCCATTCAATCTCTCCCAGCTCATGACTGTAGTCTTGTATTATTCATCACCTACCCAAAGTTTTAAGATGGCCCAATTTGGCTGCATCTCTGGTGCTGCGATAAGGTTATAATAGATGTTTATTAACTTTCTTTGGCTACACCTGCGTGCATGCTGTCAGATCAGGGGGATGTGTGGAGGAGGAAAAGTAGGTAGAAATTTTTTAATGCAACCCTCCGTCCAGCTCACCTTGTGTGTTATCGTCAATGCCTCTTAAGGAGTTCTGAACTATTTTGCTAAATCTGAAATTTCATTTATTTATGTTTTTTGGAAGAGGGGGGGGGGGGGGGGTATTCCCTTTCTAATATAGAAGGCATTAATTTCACATGAATAAAGAAAATTCAATAATTGCTACTCTACTTTCTGATATTATTGCAGTTTTAACAATTCATTATTAGCTAAATAGTGCAGTTTGTGTTTTGGGCCAATTTAGTACGAGGAAATAAATTGCATTATTTTTCTCTCATTTGGAATTCGTTTTTACTTTTCCGATTGATTCCTGCAATGCTGTAGTGAAAAGTAAATGTATAAGAGAATTTTTGGTATGTATAGGAGAATTTGTGGTGAGTGTAGTTTTGTT